CCGTTCCCGCGGCGGCCGGCGGGGCGGGGCGGCCCCCGCGACATGCAGCCATGGACTGCAGGACCAAGTGAGTGCGGGCGGCGGGCGGCGGCCCCTCCTCGGTCCCCCGACCCCGGGCCCCAGGACCCCCGGGTCCCCGAACGGCCTAGGCCGCAGAGCCTGCGGGCGGCGGGGGCGCGCGGCCCGGCGCGGAGGCCTGGGCGCCGGCGCGGCCGCTGCGGGTCCTGGGCCGCGGGTCGGACGTGACAGCCGGGCGCCCGCGCCGCGCCGGGCCGCGCGGTGCGGGTGTGAGGTGTCTTCCCGGCGCGGTCCCAGGTCCTTCTTTTTACGCCTCTTCTTAGGACCTGAAAGGGGCCCTCGTGTGCGGTGATACGGCCGCTGGTCCCTGCCAGAGGGTCTCGGAGGCTGGGTGGGCGGTTGTGGTGTTTTGATGTGTTGGCTCCGGTACCCACCAGGGGAGGAGGCTTTTCTTCAGGAGATGAATTAGGCAGAAAGCTATTTGTGTTAAGTGTGGTGATTTTCTTTTGGGTACCTTAGAGGCATGAGTTTTATATTTTGCTACAGAAACTTAGTTTGCAAAGAATTCCATTTTTCTTCTCTTCCCCCGCCCCCCTTAACCCTCCCTTCCTCCGAGTTTAAAATCGTGAATATCGTGTATTTTTCTTTGAGCGTGAAAGGCCTTTAAAATTTCCCAGTATAATAGAATCGATATTTACTATTTACACTTGAGAGATCCTAAAGACTATTACGAAAATAGGAAAATTGTGTGATTTAGAATTGTTTTCTTCAGTGTTTGATATCTTGCGGGGGGTGGGTCGCTAGGTGCATGACGTGAAAAGTGGACCTTTTGACCTGAACCGGATTAGGAGGGAGGGTCACCTGACTGAGGGTCCAGATTGATTATTCCCATTGAAGCAAGTGAATCGTGGGAGGGCTGAGGAAACTTCTATTTGCAAATAAATTTATGTGGGTTGTCGCTTCCTATGTTTCTAGATTCTTGTAATAAATTTTTGAAAAATCGAGTGTTTATTTAGAAGCCAAAGCTGCCATTAGTTTCTTGAAGGAAGTGCATATTACAAACAGCCAATGCACACAAAGGCACTAAGGTCTCCTTGGCAGGAATAACTGAAATATATTAACACTTTGATCACATGGACTTTGATCACATGGGCTTTGACCTTTTATCTTCTGGCAGAAAGAGATTAAAACAGAACTAAGTTTTAAAAAAAACCCAGAACTATGTTTTTAAAACAGATGTCTCAATAGGTTTCAATTTGATTTTTGAAATAAAGCAGAGACTATGTTGAATGTATGAGCAGTTAGTGAAGATGCGGATAACTTTTGAATGAAACAGAGCCTCAGTGTTCTTAGTGGTAAAATCCAAGTATTGAGGCAGATGTCCAGTTTCCCCAAAGATAATTGACGTAAAATAAGACTCTTTTTTGGTTGGCCTTGGAGGCTATGTATAGTTTGGTACTTTAAACATGCTTATGTGCTGTAATTATTATATCTCAAGGAAAGTGTATGTGAAGCATTGCATTTAAGGAACATTATGAATGTCTCACGGTGCTCTAGAACATGGCAGGTGGAACCAGGTGTTCATTTACACCTGTGTTGCAAGTCCTTTGAAGAAAGCTGGAGAACCTGCTGTCAAGCTCTGCTGGCAGGGAAAGGTAGAGACACTTAGGAACGTACTGGCTTTCCGGTTTTGATCCAGTAAGATGAAGGCAATGCTTTATATTTATACAGCATACTTAATACTTTATAAAGTACTTCCATTTGTATTATTTGATTTGTAGTCCCCACCATTATTCTTTGAAGTGAACAGTGTACTTTATAGGTAAGAAAACAGGCTCAGAGGTTAAATGTTTTGCCCCAAGACTCCAGACTCCTAAGCCTCAGGGTCCTTAACTTGCTGAACTAAGAAAACACTTAACTTTTTCTGCGCTGTGGTCATGTAGTTATATGGAACATACTGAGACAAGAACGAGATTAATTTTTAGAGTTAAGAAAATATAAACTTTGTTATAGGAAATAAAAATAACAAAGTTCTTTTTCTTTTAGGGAAAATCCAGAAAGAACCTTTGACTTGGTATTGAGAGTGAAATGTCATGCCTCAGCAGATGAAGGTATGTGTGTTTGCTAATTCAAAACAAGCGCTAATGTTGTAGACAACCAGAACGTGGTGGCATCAGGATGGTACTGAATTAAATGTGTATTCTGTGTCTAGTGTCTCAAGTTCTGGTAATAAAATAGATGCTAAGTCTTTGCCACGAGGTGGTAGCAATCCAGAATGTTATCTGTCCAGGTTAAATTTCAGGTGTATGTAAAGGCCATGTCACTTACAACTTAACTTTACCATTGGTTGATGAAGTTATTGTTAGTTTTGGGGGAAGGGCATATGCCTTTTCATTTTTCATTTGTTTTTGAAAATTCAGCTCCTTTTTTAAATGCTAGCAAAAAATTTCTCGCCTGTACAAATGGGAGCCGCACCAGTTCCCTTCTAATGTTTCCCAAATGCAGAATGTGGACTGAGTACCCCCTCCATGGGGTTCACTTCGGGAGCCTAGGACTTTCAGGGGAAGGTAAACAATCATGGGACATTACTTGGAAGGGTTTCAGCTGTCAGTTCTATATAATTTCCTGAAAAGACAAGAACACTTTAGGATCATGAATTTTTGTCAGTTTCCCCCCTACTTTTGTCGTGTGTGTGTGTGTGTGTGTGTGTGTGTGTGTGTGTGTGTGTGTGTGTGTGTGTGTGGTGGGGGGGGGAAAAGAGATGTGTGTGTGTGTGTGTGTGTGTGTGTGTGTGTGTTGGGAGGTGGAAAAGAGTAAGGGACGTCTCTTCTCACTCATTTCCTTCGTATTGTGCCCTCGTGCGATGTGCTTTCATGGATATCTCCAGTGTATGATTTCACTGCCATTGTACTTAGACCCCAGACAGCTTGATGATTCAGTGTGGAATTTTTGTCCAGACTAGTTGTCCACTCTCAAGGCTTGGTGGAAAGTCTCTCGACACTCTTAGCTCCTGAAACCGGCCAGCAGTTATATGCTCCTAAGCAATTTGGAGCTGCACACCTTAAAATAGAGGAACCTAACCCAGCTGTGGTGAAGTGGGCCTGGCTAATTTTAGGTAGAATGTCAGACACCTTCCTTGCTCCGCCAGCCCTGCCTGCTGCACTTAGGCCCCTGTGAGTTGCAGCTGTGGTCAGGTTTTTTCCCCAGGCAGGGACTGATCCTAGGTTGTACGTGAGCTTTCTCCGATTAAAAAGGTAATCTTTTGTTGTCCTATATGTATTAACATTGGTCTGTTTACGTTCTTTCCAGGCCCAAGTAAGTTCTCTTTGAAGACTCCAATGGATACGTTATTATTATTTTTTGAGCTCCAGTTTAAATCTGTTCTTATAGTATATTTGATACGAATAAATCTTCACAGTACCTTCCATAACATCAGCTAAGGTGTGTGAAGTAGGGCTGACCTGATGTGTTTGTAAAACAGGCTAAATTCCTTTGGCAAACATGGTTTCTCTGTAATTTTAAATGCATGCTAATGCGATCTTGATGAAAGCACGGACCTACCTTATGGAACACCCGATCTGTGCATGTGTGAGAGGGATTCGGACTTTCCATGCAGACTCCGGCGCGGTTTACTCCTTACTTCCACCCTCTGCCTTTTTTCCATTTTTCAGGAACTGGTCATTTCAGTTGGTATCTTTTACTTCTGCCCTTCTTTTATTACCTTCTTGCTTTTTTTGCTGTTGTTATTGTTAAATCGCTACTCATCAGAAACATCTTCATTTGTATTTTAACCATTTATCCAGCATGATGAAGTTGGAAATATAATAAATGCTTAAAATAAGCACTTTGGCTTCTCTGTAGGTTGCAATTGATCCATTCTACCCACGTATTCCATTAAAATGGCTCATTGGCAGCAAATTCAAAAGATTTTTTAAAAAGCTAAATTCAACTATGTAGAAAGCATTAACAACTGTTCTTTTTTGATTGTGACTTAAATTTATGAATATAACTAACATTTTAGGGCCTAACAAGTTACACTTTTTGTGCTCTAAAAAGTGATGCTACTGTATAACTAAAATTTTATGTCAAATTGAGAGTTTGATGTTTCTAAATTTTTTTTGTTAGTTTTCTACTGTATTGATAAATATTGAAGGGCAAAATGTCCATAAATTATTAAAATAAGTTACTGGAATATTCTTATTTAACTATCAATGAAACCTATTGATCTAATGAGTCTCATATACGTATCAGTTTGTTTAAAGTAGGATGCATTTTTTTTGGCTAACATTTACATGAACATAGATGATATTCTTATGTAGTAATGGACCTATAAAACAAAATGTGTAAATTAGGATGTATTAGGGTACAGATATAAAACCAATTTAAATAATAAGGAAACTTGATATTTCATAGGAGAGAAAGTCTAGAAGTAGGTCACCAGAGGCACGAACCCGCGTCCCCTGCATCGGCAGGCGGACTCTCAACCACTGTGCCACCAGGGAAGCCCCCCTGGTGTAGTTTTTGGATGACTATCTGTTTGATCCAGCAGAAAATATGATGCTCAGGGTAAACTTGGTTTATGCTAACATTGGTCATGTTACATTAAGATATTTGGCATGTTTCTTGTTTACTTATTAATAGAGAAGTTTTAACTTATTTATCCCAAAAAATTTACGTCATAAATATCTTCAGAGACAGACCGTCATTAACTGAGTTTTAGTTACGATTGGAAATGGCGGTGCTGAACTGTAACTTGATACATACGGCTCTGGTGAGGTGATGCTCATCATCTCATCTGTTGCTGTTTGGACTTGTTTCAAAGGTAGTATATTGATTTTTTGGAAAAGGACACATTTTAGAGCACATGTGAAGGGCCCCGCAGATTTAAACATTGCTGTGAGTGGGGTTGGTAGTGCTTCCTACCGCGTCCCCTTTGTGTTAGTGGACAGGTTTCTGGTGGTGTCCGCCCAGCTGGCTGGGGAGTCTCCTTGTGGATGTTTTCCTGGCAGGACAACTTCCCTGGTAGCTTCTGCTCCAACTCTCTGAGAGTGACGTGCCAACATCTAGATCTTAACGCTCTTCAACTGATTGCTGGCGCCCCTTTTCATCTCTTTGCTGTCTTTCTTCTTCCCAGCCATCAGGGAAGGTCAGCCAGCAGGGTGGCCTCCCTTCGATTCTAATAACAGAACTTATTGTAACCCGGCTGCCCCTGCTTTCCCCAGAGTGATTCAGGGAAGTGAAAGGTAATCCTTGCTCAATAGAAGATGGGAGATGCGGCCTCTTGGGGTTTGCCTTCCAGGCAGTGGCCTTGGCGCTCCGCTTTCTCTTTCGTATTGTTGGCAGTGCACCCCCAGCAGCAGAAGGGCAGTAGCCCCTACTTGTGTAGCGCTTCGTGCCACACACAGTTCTGGGTACTTTACAAAAATGCTGAGGTAGGAAATGAAGAAACTGAAGCACAGAGGAATGAAGAAAACTTTCCCAAAGCAGTCTGGCTCCAGAGTCTGTATTTTAACGTATTGCCTTTTAATAGATTTGATATATGCATGTATATTTTAAATCTGCTGCCTGTGTCGCCTCTCAGTGTGCAGTAACTTCGCATCAGGAAATACTAGAGTATAACATGTATGCGGTTCAGGTATTTTTTTTAAAACAGGAATACAGTGTCTTCCTGGAAATTAATGAATGAAGTATAATTCCACATAAAATAACTAGTGAGCTTTTTCCTTGTAGTGTTGATTCTGGCACTACTGTTTTTAGGATTTCCATCTCCGTATTTAGTGACTCTTTGATCTAACAGTTTTACTTATTAGTAGTGTTCAACACATCTCTTAGCAAGTCTTGTCTTCTTTATCCCTTTCTGTTTAGCTAGAATAATTTCTCTTAGGAACAAATCCCTCCTTGCTACTGACTTTCCACTTTTATCAGCCTGTCCAGCCCAGCATCAGATTATGTGTCCTTCTGAGCCCTAGCTTATGTGAACAGTTTAACTTCCTCTTTTTTCTGAAATCAGAAGCTTAGGCCAAAGAATCCTGCCTTAGTCTGTGTTCCCCATGCCCTGCAAATGAAAGGTACTTCTAAACTCACTTTTGCATTTGATGAGTTTTCGTCTACAGGGATACTGTTTACACAGATTCACAGCATTTTGCTTCTTCCTGTGTTTTAGCACTTACTGTGTTCTTCTAGATATGTCTAGTATAGTAATATAGAGACATGTAGATATAGCATAGCGTCTGCTTGCCCTGCGTCAAAGAAGCTCTTCAAAGACTGGGCCACGACATAGTAACTGTATGTATCCTTAAGGAACAGTTTAGCGCAGTAACTGGCGTGTTTAGTGCATAGTTACAGAGTGAATAACAGAAATTGGACCGAGCATAGTGCCTGACCATTGGTTGGATGAATTCATAGAGGCTGCCCTTGTGGATGTGATCCTCAGTGTGTGCTGGTGGACAGTAGCAGGGACATTAGCGACCTGTGACTGTCAGTGCCTTGGGCGGGGCTGTTTGGGGTCCCTGTGCTCACTCCGCCTCCCCCATTCAGGACCCACATCTGCCCGGCTCCCTCCTCACGTCACAGGATTTACTAGCACACGTGCTGTGTTTGTGTGTTTGTGGAGGCTGCCCTAAAGCCCATTGACGCCCCTCCACACATGCCAAAACCCCACGAAAACCTTAACAATTGGAAAGTAGAACTTCGATGAGTCGTACATATGATAAAATGGTCTAGGAAACTTTACAAATTGCCCAAGTGGAAAAAACCCTGTGAGTAAAACGCAGTTCCCCTGCTTTTGCTCTCGCTTTGTGTTCGTTAAGGAACTCTGAGTCCCTCTCAGCCCATGTGCACTAGGATAAATTAGAGTAATCTTGAGTGAAAGTTTTAACTTTATATCCTACACTGTAGAAGAAAGCAAAACTTATTTTCTCATAGTTGCTAACCAGGGGCAAAGTTTAATGTGGTTCTTGAGGAGCATATCTTTGAGATACACCATTTTCGTTTTACATCGAAAAATATTGAGAATAGCTGTACTTTTCTGTTTGGCTCTGAGCATTACCTCCTTCACGCAGCTGCCTGCAGGGGAAAAAGCAAGTCACGTTTCAGGGTTCAATATTTGTTG